CCTCTACGGTGAAATCTGTCACAACGGAACAGTTGGTAGCCTTCAATTCTGACTTCGCTACTACTAATTTCCTCAGTCAACCATGTCTCTGTTAGGACAATTATGTGTGGCTTCTGTTCAGAGACTAGTAATCTGAGTTCATCTAGCTTGTTGAGAAGACTCTGACAGTTAGTGTAATAGATTTCTAGACAGCGGCCACTGGTTCGAGCAGCCTCAGGAGTTGGCACCTTTGCATCGGTTAGGCTGTCAAGATGACGGCCTTCGGCCAGAGAAATGTCCTTTGGACCTGAATTATTTGTCCATTCTTGATTTTTAGGTGTGTTTCGCCACTGTTTCTCCGCTTTTCCAGCTCCGTCATCAGCTCTCTCATTTTCATTCGCTCTTTTGGCTCGTAATCCGGCTGAAAAAAAACTTCAGAATGCTGACCCCGTAGAGATGATTTTCTCTGTAACAGAAGCTGGGCCTGTGCTTCAGTCTCCAAAATGACTTTTAGGGGTCGAGGCCGGGGATTGGAACCGGATGCTGACTGACTCTTCCCTATTCGGAATGCTTTGAGAACACTTAGTGACTCATCGTCTCTTAACAAAGTTTTCGCATACACTTGAAGAAGGTCTAAGTCATGCTTAACTCTCTCCTTTGGAACTGCTGCCGTTGATTCGGGTACTCCTTTTATAACTACATTTTGCTGGCGACTGAACCTAGTGCTCGTTGTTGTCACACATCTTTTGAGTGGCTGAGCGTTCTTCTCCAGTTTACTAGTTTCGCTGGTTTCGGATGAACTAGCTATTGGGCTAGCGAAACTGAGATCCTCTGAGACAATGCTACTTAAATGAATCAAGCACTGTTTTAATAGCGAATATTTTGATTGTTCGTGTCCAGTTATTGCTAACGAGCTGACATGTAATCAATAGGCTTTTCAAAGGCTTTGCCTATGATCGTTACCAAATAACCTGAAAATAAACTAAATTTCGGATTGCCTTGTTCCTCAATCTCTTTATGAAAGAATAAGAAAGTTGAGAAGTCAGTTACGGGAATTTCCCACTAGTATTTTAGCCTTTAATCCAAGAATCGCAGATATATTTGAAATGATCTCGAAGATGTGCCAAGCGCGCCACAGGCAGAGAGAATCAATCAATCTTAATGATCCGAATCCTGCCAATTTCAATGCTAGAATCTCCTGTCTTTGGTGCTTCTCTAAGCGTGGCCACGAAATTTCACCCTTGGTAAACAATAAAAAATCTCCCTCATCGATGACACTGACACTGCGGAATGGTTTAGCGCACCTCTGAGCCAGCTCATTTCATCTTTCTGCTTTCTGACAGAACACTCAGGATGCTCGATGTCTCCTCAGAAGTAAGCGAGTAAATCATAAGTCGTTTAACTCACACGGCCCAGGAACGGACGGGATTCTAAACTCGATCATCAAACAGGCATCCCATCTCTCCATATTGCTTAGTCATTTATTCGTGGACTTTATTTCGAGCGAATTTTTTCCGGAAACATGGAAGATTTGAATTTTACTTCCGGTCCTCGAATTTGGACCTCGGATCGATTTTAGTAACTATGGGGCGTGCGAAAGTTCCACCTCTAGTAGAATTTCTTAAAAAGACAATTTTCAATCAAATTCTCGAGTTATGTGCATTTCATCAACCTCTAATCTCTGGCCGGCATGAATTTTTGTTCAGAAGTTCCTGCAAAACTTGTTACTTAGCCCTCCTTAATTTGACCACTTCTCTTCGTGATAAACAGCAGTCAGTGGTATTTATCTACTCTGATCTTAGTGAAGTCTTCGACAAGGTGCCACATGGACGTTTTTTTTAGTAAAATTGGAAGCCCTCAGTATCCGACCTACTCTTATTGACTTCACCGGGTCCTCCATATCTAACAGTTATGAGGAAACCATGGCCGGTAACAGCTAATTGACACTCCACTCGATTACGGGTGTCGCACCACAACAGGCTCTAGATGAGCTACTCTTCCTACTTTACATCAATTATATTTCGACTAAATTTGGAAAGTCCTGAACATTCCGTATAATGTGCGGCCAGGACTGCTGTCTCCTACCTGCTGATTTCTCTGAGTTAGCAAACACAACGAACCTCCGAGGTCATTTGCTTAAACTACGTGTGAATGGCGCCAGGCTGGACATTCGGAAGTTGTTCTCAAACAGAGTGGTCGAGGCTTGGAATGCAGATGTCATGTCCACTCCCGTCGAGGTTTTTAGGCGCAAGTTGGACCAATACACCACTAAGCGCCATAATGCCAGATGACCGAAATCGTCTCAGCATTTCGCCTGAGCAGTTTATTAATGTCATTATACTACTGCCAACATTTTCAGTAGCGTTTGTTTTTTATTATTATTCCTAGTCCGTTGAATGTAAGTGTTAATATTCAATTCGTTTCCCTCAGAAACTGAGATCGCACCAATTATCCATAGACTGACTACTGTACCGCACAAAACTGGGGGCAGGTTGACAGTCTGGAAAGAAATCACACCTGTGAATTTGTTGCCATGGGACAATGGGGCGGGCACAACCGCGTGGAAATCAGACGTGAAACAATAAACAGAGGCAGCGAGCTCGAAGGCGTGCCGACAAGGACGAGTGACTGGAGTAACTATTTTTGATGGTGACATGCTGGCGACACCTTCGCACTCACAGCGAGACATCCCATAGGAACACTTCAATATTTGGACAATGCTATCTTCGCCAATAGCAAATTCGTAGCGCACACATTAGAGCGAAATCTACCCGTTCTGTGGTCTTCCAGTAGCACACAACCAGGCAACGAGGGGACCCCGAGCACAACGCAGACCATCAGCATTTGCAGTTACCCCAGGTTAGCGCACAAATGAGGTCGCATGAGAGTCCGGAGAGAGATTGTGCACAAGTACTGCCGCACCTAAGGCGCAAGGACGAACGGTGACTGCCGTCTGGAGGACCCGTCCGAGGAAACTACTACACCTCAGCCCTTATCACCGAATGTCTGTAATTCCCCCGTGAAACACAGTTCTCCCGACCTAATGACCAGCGTAACACACCGACCGGCAGTTCGACCGTCGATTCCGACCGTGCTACACCGTTAGGTGCAGCAGGCACGGTGACTTGCAAGTGGATTAGTCTATAGTGATGGCAGACTTGTGCAGCATCTACCGCACTCTCTCCTTCCCACTGCCCACCTGGACACGGTGCCAGGACAGATTCAAGAAGACCGGAGGCGGAAGAGGATGCAGCTGCACACACCGACCATGGGCTCTAGTATGTACACAAATGATATCTTAGCACGTAATATAGAGTTACCAATCATACTTGCGTGCCGATTTGCTCCTGAGAGTATACACGTCAAGTGGGGGTGAAAAGTGGAGGCATGTTGACGGTCTGGAAAGAAATAACACCTGCGAATTTGTTGCCGTACAGTGGGGCGAGCACAACCGCGTGGAGATCAGACGTAAAACAATAAACAGAGGCAGCGAGCTCGAAGACGTGCCGACAAGGACGGGTGACTGGAGTAACTATTTCTGGCTTATGTCCTGTCGGCAGTCAGCCATACCCCCGGCGTACACGGCCAGGTTGAAGCGCTTAGACCGTCCCCATGACTGACGATCGCCACTAAGGCCAGTTTAAACACTCACGGGAGATTTGTCTTGTCATTCTTTAAACATAAACCCTTTTTTCATCCCTTGGCGGACATTCCTGTCGAAAGGCTGAAGAAGTAGGCCGAATAGACCGCCCACCTAGTTTTAGACTGGCAAGGCAATGAAATTTTTGCAAATCCGAAAACAGTACTTCCGCACGATGGAGACTTGCCCCACCTTAAATGTCTATCCGCAAGGATACTCCGGCGCAGTTTACAGTAAGAAAGGAGGCATTCGTGTACAAAGGTGTTCTCAAAAGAAGGCATATATATCTATATACACTAGGATGGTGTGGGCACACGACTGAAGGTCAGGCCACTGTCTGCCGCTCTTTCAGTTGCTGACGCAGCGTTGCATCACGCCGGGCCCGTCTCTTGCCATGGGACACGGCCTCAGCGAGAAGGGAACAGTAAAGGCGAACGGCAGTCGGAGAGTCGTCGTTACCGGGGATCGGGTAGGTCACTAGGCGCGGGTCGCAGTTTGAGTCAACTACAGCCACCGTGGGAATGAGCATTTTAGCGGCGTCTCGCACAGCCACATGCGGTGCTCCAAACGGTGTCAGCGTATTCAGCATGATGACGAGATCTGGTAGGCGCACCGCAGTGGACTTGAAGAACTTGGAGGAGTCAGTGAAAACGCCGCCGCCCCATGGTCGACAGTAGGAGTACTCGCCAACAGCACGCGCCGTCTGCTCCACCAGCGGCATCATCTAAAAAGGGGTTTTGGACCGAGTAGTAGGAGCTGGTTGAAGGCGTTGAGGCAATAGCAGATCAGTTAAACAAACATTAGAATGAAGTGTGATGGAAATTAATGCCCATGAGGTACTGAACCTGACAAGGGGTGAAGAGCAGTGTCAGAGCAGACATCCGTTCTGTCACGAAGCCATGTAGTCGGAATAAGTAGGCCGTTTTGTATGGAGAATAAAAAGGAGCTGCAGTCCGTTGGCAAGTGTGTCCTAATGTGTCGTCTTCCCACTGGAACGCAACAGCCCCAGCCACGCGAAGGCATGTTCACACAAACCGCTGTAAGCTCGACGGTGGTCAAGCGAGGACATACAGTAGGTGGGCTAACTCGTGAAATATCAACCGAAATTCCGAAATGCGTTTTCGGTTCAAAAAGATTACTTAAGTGGGGTTGTAAAACCAGTCAGCCTGCAACATAATTCTATAATATTTTAGTTACCTCAGGATGCCGACTTTCGAACGAACTTTCTTCCGGCTGCATGCAAACCTATACTCTGTAAAAAAATGACTACATAAGTAGCACGCATTTTTTCATTGATTTTCGATGTCCCTAAAAGCCCAATTATATTTCATGGAAAACATGCATAGAAATATTCATTCCTCCGCTTGTTCGGTAGATAATTACGTCTTCTTTCATTTTTATACTCAAAGGAAGGGTATTATTCGGTTTTCAAAAACTTTTCCAATTCCCGAATAACTTTGAACCCGCTCTAACGTTACACTTGGATTCAGGGTTTCCAAACTACAAGCCGTATATTTTTCGCGCATGTAAAACCACACATTTATCTACAGTAGTAAAGGAAGATCATATAGGGTTCATAAAAGTAAGCAGTGGATTTGATCCATATTGTTAACTTTACAAGCCAAATTCGTAAATGCAGAGAAATGACGATTTATGAACGGCCATTTCACGGTATTTAAAAAATCCTACAGTTAGAAACTTTTTTAAAACCAAATTATGTCCCTCATTCGAGTAGAAAATTGAAAGAAGACGTAATTTCCTACCGAATGAGAAAAAGAGTGAGTATCTCTATGCATGTTTTCCATGAAATATGATTGGTCATTTAGGGGCATCGAAAATCAATGAGAAAAATGCATGGTACATAAGTAGTCGTTTTTTACAGAGTGTAGTTTTTACATGCAGCCGGAAGGAGGTTTACTCGAAAACCAGCCCCCCCTGTGGTAACTGAATTATTATAGAATTATGTTGCAGGCTGACTGGTTTTACAACCCTACTTAATTAATCTTCTTGAACCGAAAACGCATTTCGGAATTCCGGTTGACATTTCATGAGTTTGCCGTCAACCAGAGTTGTGTGTATCCGTACTTCTCTCTCTCCCACGATCTACCTATTTTAGGTTTCTTAGATAGTGAGGCAAGCACCCATCGTAAGGAGGACTAGCTCACTGCACGACCTTTAGTAGCATTAGAACGAACTGGTTTGACATGGCAGGGAATCGTGATCAGACCGATATGAAAATGAGTTTGCGACAGTCGGACCCTCGGAACGACTGTCCATCAGGCCGAAAAACGCTTAAACAGGGCGAAATAACTTGGTTGGGGTGAGAGCGGGGAGCTTTTTACAAAGGTTAGGAAGAGATTTTCAAAAACTCAAAGAGTGCGGGCATAATGCTCAATGCGCTGATATACTCTTGAAGTCGGGCGCAACTTTCCAATTAAACGACATTGACAATAACCTAACTGGAATGGGAGGTACCTGCTTGTGCTGTGTCATGAAGAGGATAATACCACCTCGGTAGGCGATGTGCGCGGTGAAATTGAGTGCTGCAAACAGGAGCTCGAGGGTCTGGTCCAGATCGATGATGTCGATGCCCTGGCGACAGCCAAAAAGGTAAGGCGTCATATAGGGATTACGCAGCATCGACCGATGGCCCAGGTGCACACGGGCCTTGAAGAGCTGTTCTAGGGACAAGTATTCGCGGAAGCCAAAGTAGTCCGGTGAGGCCAGAGGGTCAGCGAGAGTGGCGGTAGGCGAAGCGGAGGATGTCGGCTTGGATGTCACGTCACTAAAGTAGCGACTAGATGAGACGGAGGCTACAAACGAGACACAAATAATCGGGTGAGGAATTCTGGAGAACGTACGTTAAGTATGCTATCTATTCATGCTGATTCAGTGATATGAGGGGGACTCTCCAAAGATGCCACCTCTGACACAATAACAGATCGTATTCTTTAGGGTAAAGGGATACGATACAAACAGCACAGGTATTTGATTAATACCTGTGGTGTTAGTATGGAATCACCTTACCCTAAAGAATACTACTAGCTATCTGTCCGCAGTTAATGAATATTACGCGGTTACCCGCTGAGACTGACGGGCTTCGGCCCAAATATTCATACATAAATGCTCGGTATGAGCCTATAGACCTAGAATATACAGATCTACTCCAAGTGTGCAGTTAATTTCCGAGGAAATTAAAAGGCAAAAAGTTCGTATTCTGTGTTGGCGGGTAATTAACATCGATCCCAAGTATGGCATGGATTTTATACCATTGTGTAATGACTTAGCGTACCGACAACACAGGTACTAGCTAAAAGCCCAGACACGCGTGTTTCGCCGACCTCGTATGCAACCCAGAGGGTAAGTTGTTGCTTGGATTCTGTCCTCTACAGCAAAACCACACTTGTTCTCTCTGTCCATATCACTTTCATATGAGCGGAAAGACAGGCAATTGCATCTGTGAGGCGGTACTGTTCGAGGTTGACCTTCAGAACATGAGAACCGGTGTTGACTTTGTTACCGACACGGATTTACCATAAGTTGCGACTGCTTGTGCGGCGAAGTTACCATAAACGATGCTTGTTTCTTGCTTTGTTTAATTTCCGAGGAAATTAATGCGCGAACTTGGAGTGAATCCTTCGGAACAGACCTTTTCAAGCGCGGTCCGAAATTTGATATGCATATTTGAGCTGAAATCCACCAGCTACTGTGGAATATTCACAAACCATCAACAGACAGTCAGTAGTATAGAATTGTGTAATGATTTACCGTACTGACAACACAGATACTAACTAAAAGCCCAGACACGCGTGTTTCGCCGATCCTGTGCCGCTGCCTGACGCAGCTCAAATATTCATATCAAATTTAGGACCGCGCCTGTAAAGGTCTGTTCCGAAGGCTTTACTCCATGTTCGTGCATGAATTTCCTCGGAAATTAAACAGGGCAATTTTATAACATATCCACATGAGGGGTTCGCCTGTGACTAGCCATTGGCATATAACCAAGTACTCGCAGTTTTGTTGATAAGTACCATCAATAACTGGCCCGAGAGATGATTTCCATGTTTTTTTTGAAGGCCCTTCTGAGCGCACGAAATTCTCAGCTAGTGTACGCGATTACGCGCGCCCACTTGGTGACGGAAAAACATCGAGAATGGACTCGGTGGAAGATGTAATCCGTTCGTCGGGGGTCTGCAAACGCCACGGAGCCGTGTCAACAATCAATGTTTGCAAACCTCGTACGTATCCCAAGCTATGTACCCGTGTGTGAGAGAGATAAAGAATGAGTTCGCTCAGTCATCGCAATCGGCTCCTACCTCCAATTGGTATTTTTTGAGGCACACCCAGGTGGTGGAATTTCATTGGCTGGAGGGAGCCAACACGCACCATGTTAAAATTTGCTGCAAAACCGATAAAAAACGCGAAAATGTGTCGCTGGGGCGGATTTCTTTGTCCTACTATCTCTCAAAAGATCGATTGGGGATCAACTGGCTACGATTCGCCAGATTGCACAGTATTGACATTAAGAGGATGCCCAACGCAGTATGAATGGAGTTGACACTTTGGTAATCGTGAAAGAAACTATAAATTAACACTTCTTGGAAGCTACGGCGGAGATAAGCCATGAAACATAGGTAGCATCCGAGCAGCTTCATCAGAGTTCCGCTTCCATTTAATCTTGCGAACTGACCTGGACAACCTTTGGTTTTAATTTGATTACGATCACGTAAGATAGCCCATCCGACCCGTCTGCACATCAAGTGACTTGAACTTGACAGTATCACACCCCATAAGAGACAGCACACATGGGGGTGATAAAGTGGTACGACTGGGTGCAGGCTCCAAGCCACGCGAGTCACTTGGGTGCGATCCCAGCATCAGACAGCGGGCTGGTGCATGGGAGAAGAGGGGTCGACACTGTGAAAAACGTGTGTGGCATGCGTGGGCGGGCTATATAGCTTTGTCAGAGTGAAAGTCTCGGTTAAAGTCACCTGGCTATATATGCCTATCCATATTAGTACAAAACACCGGTCATGCCGAATCCACGCTGGCATCAAAGCGGCAAGAGGAGAAGTGGCACCGTTTCAGATACACATGCATCACTTGCGGCTTCATTATGTTAGGCTTTATTTGGGCTCTTTGTATCCTAGTTCTTCTAACAACAAGTATCTAACGGATGACGTAAACTGATGCAGTAGAAGTTGACTTTGAGCGCAGCTCTGGCCCTATGACCCTCGATGTGAAGTGCTTTGCTTGGGGGTCTGTCCCCCCCCTCACAATCAAATTCAATGGCAGCAGTCATTTGCAATGCGGTGGGCCTACGAGACGGAGACGACCGAATCAGTGAACACGAATTCAGGCGTGAATGGTAGGCGAAGAAGGAGCGGGTTCAAATTCGAGGATTCAGGATATCACTCTATTCCGGACAATACATAAACTAATAACTCGTTCAGAACAGCGGCAGCACAACCTTGTGGTGAGCAGAATGCTCATATTATCGATATTGAAAAAAAGAAACAAAAATGGACGACTGTTCCTAATTAACAGCAATTAGACTGTGTCCAAAGTATTCCGGTCTGCTCTCGGATTGTCTGTGGCAGACTGGCCTTGAGAGCTGGCAGTAGTACAGGGCATGATGACATGTGACCAATGGAAATGACAGGAATTGATGACCGGCGGACGTTGTCGCGTGCCGGGCCAAAGACACTGTCGACGTCCGTCTCACGCTAAGGGCACATGCGGCAGACTGACTCTGACAGATGCCAGTTATTTCAAGACTGAGGAGAGTACCAAGATAGAGAGGCTGCAGTATTCAATGCAATTTACAATGGTTGCCACAGAGGCCGTCGATAAGATATTCATCTCTCGACAGCATCTCTCATTAACAAATGACGGTTTCTACTATGCAGCTACAATTAAGGTGGCATACTTTCAGACCAGCTGCAGATGATTATGCTGGAGTTGACGAGACGCATGCTTTTGGCGTTCATAGTAAGTGGTACTGCAGCAATCAGACAGGACCGGAGACGAACTTCTTGGTCAAAATGAATTGAGACGGCTATATTGAGTTTCTCCAAAGATGAGTGTGTGAGTGGTACCTCTTTCGTGCGGGTGTATGGAAGTTTGGTCCCTTCCTCGGTGGCAGCCTCCAGCTCCACCTTTCCCAGTCTTCAGTTGTGAGTACATTTGAAATTCCCCTCAGTATCTGGCTACCAAGACTGAAAATAGCCTGTTGCGTAAACCAATAAACGGTTCTTCGATTTTACGCTACTTCAGCCGGACTGACTTATTACATAACATTTGATATGGGGCACATGAGTCCCGCTATGCATACCTTACAAAAGGAAGGAAATACGTCAAAGGGCGTTGTTTCCAATCTGAATACCGGCCACAGCTAAACGATCGGAGAGCAATATAGTACATCCGGAACTTTAATGGTGCATGCGACTGGCGATGGTTCAACATAATGGAGCTGTGCAAGCCTTTCGAGGGTAAGCTTAATTCGATGCGAAATAAGTCGCACATTGAGATGCCTTCAACTCTGTAACGGAGACGGCGAGACCCGGCCTGGGTGACACTTGCGCAGTCATGTGGGAGACGAGTAGACGCACATTAGTCCAGAAGCCCCAACATCAGATCTAGAACCGAGGAATCTGCGAGACATAGCTGAACAAGATTTTTTGTTGCAGTATCGCAAAATTGAAGAAAGTGGCAAATCCCAGTCTTGCCTTTCAGGCTTGTCACCAACATGCATTCAGGAAGTCCGCGTTACAGGCAAATTGGTGGGATATTCTTTACAACTGCTCTATTTTTTCCCTATGTACTTTCACTCATTACTACACTCTGAAAATCGTTTCGCAATTTCGCGGCGTATAATAAGGCTTCTTCCGCCAAACGATCACTTCCAACGGGTATTGTTCCGCGATCGAGTTTATATGGGGTCACATGATTTCAAAGAGTATTTTTTTTAGTGAAATTCTAATGAGTAGAGGACGAAAACTTAGAGCCATTTATCATTATGCTTCGTGCGGCAATACGCCCTAAAAGACATGTCTTTCTGTTGCAGCAGACCACCAACAAAATCACCGCTCTCTGGAGGCGTAGGGAGGCTTGAATACAAGAGGGAGCTGTCTGTTTTGCATGCCTGAAAAAAGTGCGCAAATTACTGGCCTCAACGCTAAAATGAGTCGAGTTTAACATACTTTGGTTAAAGAGGGAGAAAAGACACAATACCCTCAGGGGAATAAAAACGACCATGAAACTTTGACTCGAAAAGAAAAAACTTCAGGCCTCACCGACGGGGAATATTCGATGTAGAAGTGGACGGAAAAACAGAGACATCCTGATGGCAAGAATGCCGCACGGTAATTGGCTGTTGTGGCTTTTTATTAAGCCGCGCTAGCATTTGCCTAAATTAAAGGATGAAACTCTAATTTTTTGAAATTTTTTTATATTACATATTTAAAGTCCCCTCAGGCATTAAGAGTATTCCATAACTAACTACCTTAGCAAGAATCTGGGTGCGTATAGTGCTTAAGTTTCCCACATTTGCAGTTTTAATTCTTATGATCTTTACCTACCTGAAATTAAATTATGCATATGTTGCATGTCCATCCTGTCTATTCTTGAATAACATTGCAAATTCTACGTTTTTTTAACAAGCCTAGTCGCTCTTAGGTTGAAAATGTCCAGAGATATTCTAATGGGACATTTTTGTATTAGACACACCGAAATGCTTGCGGCGCGAAGGTTCGACAGCTAAGGAAAGATGAACGATGTTCGAAGACTAGCTGCTGGCTCCCGTGCTTTCTTCCACATTAATAAAAGTCCCGATTTCCATCAGATTAAGATTTCTGGCTGCATTATTTGTCCATGCAGCAGTCGCAATTCATCCTTGAGTTTTGTGCAAGATACGACAAAAGTGGTTATTATTCAAAAATTTCGATACACTTTGAATCACTTGTCACCTGGCCCTATAACTGGTAGAAAATAATGTCTTAGTCCTTATATGCTCTATGTTAGAAACCACGACTGATGCTAAAGTCATTGTCAATAAAGAAGACCTCCCGACTATCTTGCATTTGCAGACCATTATCGAGAAAAGTAGACACTTATTTTCCCCCCAAATGCATTTGCAAACGGCCCAACGAACGCGCCCTGAATAGAATCGATCACACACCTGATATCATCAGAAGTCGCAGAGAGATTAAAACGCAAATTCGATATTTTATCCGCAATATACCTCAAAAGGTTACCCCAACACCAACAATCCAACAACTTAAACACTCGTGGGACCTAAACATCCCCATAACTTCCACCAGAAGGTCTTATTCAAGAAGCGAAAAAATTCAATCTTAACTACCTATGCCCAGACCGAAGACGATCTAGTACTACAAAATCCTATATGGGAAAGAGGCCCGCGCAAACTAAAATCACTCATTGGCCCAGACTTCATGTTCATGCAAAGACGTAAAATACAGAAGGAAGACACCGGGTTTGAACGCGATAATTAGCATAGCGTTTCCTCAAGTGAATTTTTAGCAGGTAATTCTAATTCTGACACCACTAACAAAATCGCAAAACCCAGTGTAAATAAAATATATAACACGCTCTCCCCTCGGATGAACCAATGGCGGCTACTTATGATACTGACACCCATCAAAAATAAACAACTACTAAAGCAGTTTAGAAGGGTGATCGGAAACAAACTAAACGAGCAGAACGACACACCATAAGTGCACATTAAGGGACGTAGATGGAGTAGTGAAACTTAAAATGTGTTGCTAAACACGGACTTCGTCATGGTTATTCATGCCTTACGAGTAATCTTCGCTCGCGGGAAAAGTGGCCAGAAGCCACAGACCAGGACCATCCAGTTGATGACATCTTCTTCGACTTCGATAGGGCATTTCATATCGCGCCCCACGGACGAATCCTACAAAAGATTTGGCGACGTTGAAGCCAGGGAACAATTTCTAAGTGGATTAAAGTTTTCTTGCAATGCGGACTGCAACGCGTAATTTTTGGCACCACTGTATCCGATAAAAACCAGTAGAAAGTGATGTTTCACAGGGTTGGGTTCCAGGATCTCTCCTCTTTGTCATCCACATAAATGACTATACTGAATATCTTGACTGCGGTGCCATCATGTTTCAGATGGCACAAAACTCGGGAAATAATCGGCTCTGCTAACTGCACACAGAAAATGGAAGAATACGTTACTAATCTGGATGCATGGTCCATCAAGTGTTTCCTAGCGTTTTATGTATCCAAATGTGCAGCTGGTCGGAGACGTTCCCCAAACACAAGTACACTTTAAATAGGGTTCCACAAAAGAAAGATCATATGCACAAAGACCTAGGTATCTGGACAGATATAAACTTTCTGCCCTCCAAAACTACAAAAGAATCGTCCAAAAGGCAGACAGCATCATTCACTGGATTAGGCGTGCTTTCATATTTCTTCAGTTCGAACTATTCGTTCGGATCTTTAACAGGTTCGTCAGACCACATCTGGAATTTGTAATGTCAACATGAATGCCCCGGATGGAGAAAGACAGTGACCTCATCGAGCAGGGATAACGATTGGCGACAAAAATGGTGAACGGACTAAGGGCTCTGCCATATTCTGAAAGACTGACCAGACTGAACTTTCCTCTTATGTCCTATGAACAAGTGAGGTGCAACCTGATGTCAACATTCTGCACTCTCCGCGGGCATGAGAATTCGCTCAAATATGAGGATTTCTTTGAGTTTACGAGCATGAGTCACCTGCACAGTCATCCGCAATAGGTAAAATGCAAATACACGCGCCCAGACCAATGATCTTGTCTCTCAATCAGCGGGTATTTCGACAGTGGAACTTATTCGCAAGTGATACAGTGGTTTCCGATGCTAAGGTTCTAGTCAGAAGGCAGTTTAGTCGTTTGACTTTTAATAATCGACGACTCTCATTGAAGGACTATCTGCGGCCAGCCTTGGGCCTTACTTCCCGACTTTATTTCCCGTGTAATGCACCACTGCATGCTTAATGCTAAGCATTTCTCTAAACTTTCGCAATTGACGGTATTTTGTGCAGGCTGTATGCAATTGCATTTATTGTGTTTACTACACACGAATGGGATCATTAAGGGCACTGCCCGTAACCCTTAAATCCATACGCACATTCGTATAAACTTATCCTCCAGAAAGTTAGCTTTGGTACACGGGTTAGGGGAGGGCAACTGCCCAAGTGCGTTGATCTTATTTTTACTCTGGAAAAGGAGAAAGTGCTCCACCTAGAAGATCAACTGCCGACAGTGTCAAGCGATCACATTGCGCTTTACTTTGAGCAAGAACTGTCTTCGGGTAATTTAGCAAATAGAAGGGAAGTAGGCAGAGCCTTCGAAAACCCTAAATGCAGACATGCACTGAAAAAATGTACATGCTTACCTATCTATATGCGTACATTGTATCAGTCCTTGTCAATTAGTTAGTTCGTTCAATCACCCGGTGGAATAGGAAATTGGCAGTACGTCAAGTTCGGCGCACTTTGCCTTCAGTCTGCATGGCTGGACTCGGCGATTTGCCATTTATGCCAATTCAAAAGTACGGTCGAACTGAAGTGCACAGTATACTCCTCAAAGGAGTTTAAAGACCATGATCATGTACCTTCTATATTGCCTGTAGTAGAGAAGAATAAGTTTAAGTCTACTTAATCCCCCCGTTATTAGGTAGGTCATTCAGTCCGCTGACTAGTTTGATCGCCCTTCGTTGAACTTTCTCCAAGGAAGTGCAGTTTTGCTTCATCGAGGGGCGCCACGCCTGAACGCAAAATTCTAACACGGTCTGTGTTCAGAGGAGACTGACAGCGCCCAAGAGGTGCTACAATAGACCTCTTTTTTACTCTTTAAATTTTCAAGCGTTCGACCAAAAGCCTTTTGGTAAAGTGAAGGATCGCTCCCAGGACACCCGCAATTTCCTTTGCTGTCTTGGCGCGGCGGGCGAAGGTTAGAGAGTGGGCGTCATCCACACACCAAGGTTCCTTAATTCCTTAACTGGTTCGAGTTGGGGAGCTTCGACAAAATACCTACATTCAAATCTCATAACCTTTCTGTAACCAGACCGTAGTCAGATGACTTGGCGTTTGTTAAAACTGAGTCTTCGAAATTGTCTTTCGAGGCAAGATTATATCTGCCTGCCGTTAGCTTCAAAAGACTACTTTCAGTGGTCTTGCTCGCACCTTCTCTGCAGAATTTCCAACTAGAGAACACAAACAGAAGATCTTTTGGATTCAAGACACTTCATCGAATTCTTGGGTATTATTCAGTAACTTCGGAACGTCAGAAAGTCGTGTTTAACTCTCCTTTTGGAGTCTCAACAGGAGCATCAGGGACTCCCTGGACTATCAGACAAAGAAATACTTCAGGGTAAATACATGTCTTCATCCTGGCTCCTTTATGGTTGCTAGACTGAATCAGAGGCTTCCATTTTCTTCCACTGAAGGTTCTGGAATACTTACTGCTTAAAATTCTTGATGTAGACTTTTCCTACCCCCCTCCCCTGTTGTCGCGATGTTTTGACTACGTATTCAACTAAGTGCTCTATAGAACACTCCGAATGGCTGGGAGAACTTGATGGCAATGGTAGACCTTGCGAACTCGTTATCTTACATCTCGGCACAACAAAACCCTCGTCATTTACATTTGCATGTATAGACGCGCTACATTCGACATTTTTATTGACTTCGACGAGTAGTATCTAATAATAATAATAATAATAATAATAATAATAATAATAGTGAAATTGTATTTAATGCCCTTTGACAGGAACCGTCGAATACAGTACGTCACAGGCCGACTAGCAGTGGGAAAAGCTCATGAGGGTGTGAACATAGGTGATAGTATTTTTGGATAGTTCGGGTGGTTAAAGAGAAAAGAACTGTATCCCCTGAATTGTCATCAGCCCAAAAGAGGAGCGGTCAACGCTGCATCGGGTGTTTTCAGTATCTGTTCCTCTTCTTGGAATTGGGACTGCACCCAGCAGGGTGCATGAATGAATGTGCTCGGTGTCGGCCGAGAAAATTTTCTATAATGTTGCAAGCTGCAGAGCCAGCATCAACTCTCACAGGATGAGACCGGACAGAGAGATCAGAGTCCACGAACTCCATTACTACGGAAGATTAGTTCGGCTGGCTCATTGCCTGTCTTCAGTCGTCCAGCATAGAAATCCCATCTGTCTTTATTGGAGGCCTCGGTATCGCTATCCTCCGTTCCTGGCGTCCACGCTTGTAAACATTCGGCCAAAGTGCGGCCAAAAGGGTTGAGTTGAGCTAAGGTTATTTTCCTGTGTTCAAAGAAGACT